AAAAAAAAAGAAAAAGAAAATAAAAAATTCAAGTGCTCCAGGCACTCTGACAGCAGTGCCCAACAAATTTGCTTGTTCAGAGTATCAGGTAACAGCTGGGACAGTAACACTTCAGCCTTGGGCTCCTCCCATTTAAACCCAGATCTGTTTCTCTCAGGAATCCAATCCATGCCCAGCACCAGAACAGTGTCTCTGTGCCCTCACCTCGCAGAAGACTCCCGAGAATCCCTGGGAGCACAGGCAGCTGAAGCCATTGAGCAGGTCCTTGCAGCGACCTCCGTTCTGGCAGGGATTGCTCTCACACTCATCTGTCTCTGTCTCACAGTTTTTGCCTGTGAAACCACGAGGGCATAAGCAGTGGTAACCGTTCACTTCATCCTTAGGAGGAGCAAAGAGAAGTAAAAGTAGAAAGGTTTGTTTATGGGTAAAACTTGCACATCAAAATTCAAAGTATTTCTATGCTCTGCATTTAGCAACAGCAGTAACCCAGAGATTTTGTCTGCAATGAGTGCAAGACTTTGCAGGTGCAATACTACACATCTAACTGTAATTCCAAACTCTGTAACTCATAGCTAGGCAGGAAAAAAAATTCCTTTTCACTGTGAACTGTAATAAACAGGAGTTACCTTGCAAGTCCCTCCATGCTGACATTGGCCATGGCAGTCATTAATATCTGTGGATGAAACAGGCAAAGCATTAGGATTTATTCTGGAAGATTAAGCTAGAAAGTTTAGCATAAACATGGAGAACAAATGGGGATTTTTCTAGGAGTTCTAATGGAAAAGCAGAGATACTGAAGAGACTCTTATTCATAGAAACATCTAAGAGAAAATTACATATTCCATAGTTCTATCACAGTGTATAACTTGGATCAAATGTTACCAGCTAACTTCATACCTAACACTCAGCTAAAAAGTGTTTAAAACTGATTCAATACATGTAATATTTGACTAATATAGTGAACATTTGATCAATACTATATTGAACATTGATCAATATTCAGACTCAGGTCTGAGTGAGTTTTATTAGAGTTTATTAAATGTATCTCTAAGCTCATTTTAATACCAATCACACTTCAAAATCAGTTTTCAAACAGTACTTTCAATTTACATTGCTGGAAGTCAGAGAAATCCTGACAAGAGGTATTTTTTTCATGTAAAAGTGCTATCATTGATCATACAACCGTTGCAAAGAATCATCCTGGTGCCAACATACATACTAAAGAAATACTAACTGATATGACAATTTACTCCTGTCCATCCTGGAATGCAGTCACAGTAATATCCACCAATGAGATTTTTGCAAGAGTAAGCATTAACACAGGGTTTCCCCTCACACTCATTAGCATCTGTGAAGGAAGAGAAAATAAAGAAGAGGATAAAGAACAAACCCAGAAACAGATTACCACAGTACCAAGCAAAGTGTCCATGCAATCCAAGCATCAGAGGCTCATCTTGGACATTTGTAGGGCACTAAAATCACTTACACACCACAGCTTTTAATGCACACTTGCCTAGAGCAGCACATGCATGTTATCCTACTCTTCCCTTGGCCAGAACTCCAAAGGGTCATGTTAGTCAGGGCAAATCCCTTCCCTGCCCCCATAAGCTTATAGTCACTGTTCTGCCACCATGGAGTAGGAGGTACCATCACCAGTGCTGCACCTTGCAGCAGAAAAGCTACTGGGCATTCTAAAGGAACCGCTGCAAGTAAGCTTAGGTTGGGGTTTAAACAGCTAGAGATTCACCTGAAACTTCTGCCTTTAAAATCTGCTGGAGGAGCTAAGATACCAAGAGCTAAACACACTCTGTATCTTCTTCAACAAACATGTCAAGCACACAGAGTGATTCACTATTCAGAGCTTTAGAAGGCAACTACTTACCAAGCTGGCAAGTTGCTCCAATCCACTGCTGTGGACATATGCACTCGAATGCATTTACACCATCGATGCAGGTCCCTCCTTGAGCACAAGGGTTAGATGCACATTCGTCGATATCTGCAAAGTCAAAGAGGCTTTTCCATGACATGGCTTAAAGCTTGGCTGAACAGGTCCTCATGGAATCATCAGTGCTGGAGGAGAACTCTAAGGTCATCCAGTCCAACCATTAACCTGTCACTGCTGGAACCCTAAACCTTAAACCAGGTCCTCCAGTGCCAGATGCAGATGTCTCAAAAACACCTCCAGGGATGGTGACTCCACCACCTCCCTGGGCAACATATTCCCTATAGAGTTCTGGGGGATTTAAAGTTCTTTGGAGGTGAAAGGAGAGAATGTACCAACAAATAAGCTTAGGAACAGACTAACACTTCTAACCTAGCTTTTACTTCAGCTTCTCTCACATCCTTGGGATGAGGACAGAGAAGGAACTCTGAGAATTTCCATCTGCAGACAGCAAGAAGATTCAGCCAACCTACACCAAGGATTAACACATGTTCCTAGGCCATGACAAGGTTAGCCAGTTTTGGTTTTGTGGTTGGTTGGGGTTGTTTTTGAGGACAGCTGCTGTTTCAAAATGTTCCAAATCACAGGCAACATGCAAACCAATTACACAGATCCACAACACATTTCCACCTTGTCTTCCAAACCAGACACTTCAGAATGTGAGTGCATAAAATCTCCTCTTCTACTGTTTAGGAAGGGGAGAACCTTTCACCTTCACATGTATATTCCTTCAAATCAATCCATTCTGTATCTTTAGACTGGCTAAGGAGTCAGGAGTGGTCAGACAAGCTTTGGGAGCAGGGCATTTCTTTGGGCATGGTCCAGCTGTGCTTGAGATAAGCTGTAGATCAAAACTGCATCACACACACTGCTGGCTGCACAGCACCACTCCTCCCTTCAGTCTCCCAGCACTTAGCTGCAAGAAGACAGGCAAAGCAAAACACTACCACAGAATCCCAGACCCACAGACCATGATATTAGCAAGCTGCATCAACCCTTCCCACCTAACAGGTCCATGCATACCCACCAATAGCACATGTTGGTCCACTCCACCCTGCTGGGCAGTGACACTTGAAGCCTGAGGAAATCTCGTGGCAAATTCCACCGTTAGCACAGGGATTAGACACACAAGCATGTTCCGCTGGGAGGAGAGAGGGAAACAATACTCAAATACTCTGCCAGCAGCAATTAAATTGAGCTAAATATCAATTAAGCTAAAAATTACATTGATTACAACTGACCAAGAGCATGTGCAGTACAGAAGTTTGGAGCTTTCCTCTCCCAGCTGGAGAGAGTTAAAATTCCCAGTAGGAGACTGAAGGATTTTCCTCTATGTGCATCATCCTACTTATCTGGAAAGCCTAAACCTAGACAGGTCACTCTTTTCTATGTCCCAGGAACCAGAAAAGTTACCCATTAACATACTGCCCCCACTTCCACCTCCAGAGTGCTCCAGCACTTGGTTCACTCAGTGAGACAAAACAGACTTGCTGCGTGCAGGGCTCTGAACAGGAGAAGAACTCTGAGTATCTAAGGTCTGTTTAGCTTCACTCTAATCCTATTCCTTGGAAACAGCAAAGGACAGAGGCGGTTGCAATTACAGGCAGTGCTGCTCAGTGCCACTCCATGTAGGGATCTAACACTGGCAGGAGCTGCACCAGCAACCACCAGGCTGAGGAGGGACAGGTTGGATGCCATTGCTCCTGATATCAGCTCTTCTCAGGGGCAGAGGAAGCTTGTTTACTTGTTTCCAAAATCTCCTTACCAGGTAAGGATTTCTCCTTTGTTAACATTCATGTTTTGGAATCTTTCAGGGATGTTATCTATTTTGAGAACTGAATGCACATTGGCCATAAGCTTAGGTACTAGTACCTAGAACGGCTCATGTACCAAATCTAATGTTGACAATCAACACAGAACTCAACCAATGCATGGCTCTCTTCTTCCCTGCCCCTCACCCAAAGAGCCAAGGTACTTCCCCACAACTTTCAGGGCAAGCCAAGCCAAGAGCGGTGCCACCTCCCCAAGTACCAATTTCGCAGTTCTTCCCCGAGTAGCCATCAGGGCAGGCACAGCGATACTCGTCGGGCTCCGTGTTCATGCAGGTCCCACCGTTCAGGCAGGGATGGTGATTCCCACAGTAGTTCAGATCTGCACAGAGGAAAGTGTCAGTCAGCAGGGAACACAAAGCTCACCTCTGCAATCTCTAGCCAGACACACAGGTGCTGTTGAGGCTTGAGTATCATTCCCCACATCATTCCCATGTTCCATGAGCTAACCTGACACCTTCTAACCAACAGGACAGGGAAAAATGAGCAAGGGACAACTGCACGAGTTAGAAGAGTCAGGACCACTCCAAGCGTTTTGTCTTAAGCTTCCTATTCTTACAACCCTTAGGCACCATAAAGGAATTGAGGCACAGAAACAGTCAGGTAGTTGCACATGAGCAGAAAAACAACTGGTTAATGAATTTTCAGTCAATCATGCAACTTGACTGCACAGGGATGCTAAGTACCTTTGTTGCAGAGCAGGCCACCCCAGTTGGTCTCACAGTTGCACTGCCATGGCTCGTTGCAGCTGCCGTGAGCACAGCCTGGGTAACGGACACACTCGTCACAGAACTGTCCCTGCCAGCCGTAGTGACACCTGAGGGGTAAGATAATATGTCAAAAATTAGCAACATGATGCTTCATGGTCAGCATTGCATCTATTTACAGCACCACACTTACCACTCTCAAGAACAAGGTCAACTGCTCAACGTGCAACAGCTAACCAAGCTTTGTTTATCTTGCTGGAAAGGGACATACTAGTCCTCCTGAACATCCTCTGCTGGAAGTCAAATGTACAACACACCATGGCAACAAACCCCACCAAGCACAATGTGCTGGGAGAGCTGCACATGAATGAGCTGTTCTTCCACAGGGAGTCCCATCTGCATGTAACCATCTCACACTAGGATGAAAATTGTGATTGAGATAAGAGTTAAAGTGACTATGAGGAGAGGTTTCAATTTCACAGCTCCTTTGCTCTCGAGTGCTACAGCCTCACAAGACCAGGGCAGGCAGAGTGGTAGTGTCTTGTCCATTTTCTCAAGGCCTAGCTCCTCCAGAGAGCCCTTTGCACAGGTTTATCCTGCTGCATCCTCAGTGTTCTCTACTGACACCATAGGAAAAACACTCTCTGAACACAAACAAAAGCCATTAGTAATTCATTTGGTTTCGAGCTGATTTTTTCCCCAAGATTTCTTCAGAGATCAGTACCTCTATGTTAATCTCCAACAGAATTCTGCTAATGGAAGCAACTGTTTATGCTACAGAAAAGTGTTACAGTCTGAACTTAGACAAAACAAAGGGCAGAGGCTAATGGTTATTTGTTAGCATCTATTTCACACATATTTTAAGTAACAAGAAATAGAAAGTTTGCTCTTTTGGGCCAACAGAAGAAATGTTCTGCCTGTTAAAGAGTATATTAAATAGAGCTTAAGAGACATACTAGCAAAAAAGATGTGTAAAAACACACTGAGTGGGAGTTGGGCACAGTGCAGCCCCAACGCTTCCGGGGGAAAGGCATTACAAACAAAACTGCACATATTGCAGATTTAACACCATCATTCTATTATCCACAGGACCTGAATACTATAAAAGGGCAGAAAATAAATCCTTAAGTCTTTGGGCTGCAGAGAGAGAAGGCAAAGGAGAGAGGTACAAGCAAAGAGTTTTGGTTCCTTGTGAATCATGGAATCTTCAAGTCTGGAGGAGATCTCTCAGATCATCCAGTCCAACCATTGATTTGCCACTGCTGGAACTCCCGAACCCTAAACCAGATCCTCCAGTGCCACATCCAGACACCTCTGAAACACCTCCAGGGATGGTGACTCCACCACCTCCCTGGGCAATATCCTGAACACTCTCACAGGGAAAACATTTCTCCTCACATCCAATCTGACTCTCAAAGCCTTTGCACCATTTCAGCAAGCTGGACCAGTCCCTAGAGGAACAGAACAACTTGTGCTGGCAGCACAGGGTTCCAGTTCCTCCTGTTTGCATTGGCAGGAGGAATGTAGCTGCAGATCTTTGCAAGACCATCTTTTTCATACAAAGCTGGATGAAGTCTTGAGCCACCTGCTCTGGTGGGAGGTGCCCCTGCCCAGGGCAGCGGGTTGGGGCTGGATGATCTCTAAGGTCCATTCCAACTCCTAAACATTCTATGATTCTAGAACTACTTTGGGCTCTCAGTGCAGTACCTGCTCCTCATGAAGGACCTCCCAGGTCTGATCCCCACACAGTTGCAGGATGCCCAGGGAGAGCTGTGTGCCCAACCCAGAGGCCTCACTGGCTCAGCTGAGCAAAGCTCTCTGGAGCCTGGAGAACACATGTGTTTTGGAAGCAGCTTTCTTCTGCTGTATTAGCAGTAAGAGGAAGCAAATACTGCTTCTGCTAAATTTGATCTCTTCCTTCCTCCTCAAGGACAGAAAAATCTTTTCAGGGGCTGGTAATAAACAATAAAAAAAAAAAAGCACTGTAACTCACTTTTCTGGCCCCAGGCCAAATCTCCATCCATGCCAAACCTGGCACTGCTGCCAGTGATTCACCATGACTATCCTAGCCAGAGCCAACTCCCCACCCACGCACAACAAGCACTTCCAAGAGCTGAAAGTCTGCACCACAGAGCAAACAATCACACGCAGTTTGTTCTCCACAGCCAACGGACACCAAGTTTCTTCATTAACACTGCACTGGTGCTTAGGAGTGCAGAGGAAAACATAGCCACCTCCTAGAACATGAAGGCATCTTAAGCACCTGCTGGATTTGCTAGCTTGATGGC